GAAGATATGAATTAATAACACACATATATTTTCATTAAAGTTAAGTTCAAGTTAAACAGTCTTGTGCACTATAAATTAGTTTTTAAAATCCAAGTACAAAACGTGCGGTCGACTTTTTATAAATAATATAATAAAATTAAAAAAAAAAGTATTTATATATGTGTACACAATATATACATATAAAAAAGGAAATTTTTTTCAATATTTTAGGTGCTTTAGCATATCTAATAACTTTTTGTTGTCAAAATTGAGTAGATTTATAAAGTTAATACTAAAGAACTATAAAAATTATCGTTAGTTTAAACTAAATTATAAAGACTAAATTATTAAAAAGTAATTTTACTTAAAACACCAATTTTCGCATAAGTTTATTAAAATTTATAACATATTTTATTAAAAAATGAAAATCATCAATCATAAATGGTGTAAAATAATATTTTCAAATAATTTTTTTAAACTTATTAGATGTAGTGCCTTTTTTGCCTCCCTTTAATGAAATCAATTTTCTGGAAGAAAATAAAAAACATTTAAAAAATAAATACGAATATAAACAAAAAGCAACCTACAAAAATATTTAACAAATATTTATATCAATAATTGTAGCATAATATAAAGAATTAATATATATATATATAAATATAAATATAAATAAATACATATAGTAAAATTTACGTAAAACTACTATATATATATATATATAAATAAATAAATAAATAAATAAATAAATAAATAATTGTTTACGTCAGTAACGATAACAGCAACAAGTCAATTAATTTAAGTCATATTCAACGAGAAGAACGCAAAGTTAAACTATACATAAGTTAATCTAATGAATATCATGAAGTACTTGACATAATTAATGATTATTAATCTATTTCGATTTTTTTTTAAGTTTGCATTTCTCGGCCTTACTAATATCTTCAAAAATGTACGTTCATTTGGAGTCGAAAATATGATAACAAAAGTCTAAGGAAAAAATGTACTTTGCAAAAATACAAAAGCCTTGACTTTAAAGCAATTTCTTTGTAGTTGAACTAAAATGTATAGTTAAATTTCCTTTGAGTCGATTAAGTCGACTTTAAATGTCCTGTCTGATTTTGTTAAGTTTTCTGTATTAAAATATATGTCTAGTGTTGCTCGTATATCTTTATAAAAAACTAAACAAATCACTTTATTACCTATTGAAAATATGTTAATATATATTACAATATATATGTAAAGTAAATACCTACTATTTAATTAAAAACAAAAAACAAACTATATTTATGAAAAACCAAGAAGAGAATAAAATTGTATTTCTGAAACTTAAAAAAAAATAAAGTTTTATTCGAAAGAAAAATTAATTTCACAAATAGTTGATAATAGTGCTGTTGTGGTGCACATTATCAATACATACTTGTCTATGAGTAAGACCTTGTATTGAGGCGATATCTTGTAGGGGACTGTAGTCGTCGTCATATAGGCATGTATTGTCATTGATGATCTTAAAGTTTTTTAGATAAAGGATGTGTAAAGCAGTGATCAGTCAGAACTTGTGTCATCTCAAAAAAGAGCCAGAGTTTCCGAAAAGTACTGTTGCTATTTTATCTTGGTTCTTGAAAAGTGAGTGCTACCATATTTGCATCATGATATATCTGCTTCCATGGCAATGCTGTTCGTAGGCGAATTAGTATTCACTGTTACTATGTTATATAAATTCTAAAAAAAAAAGAACTTGTGATTTCTTTAGTATATCGATATGGTAGTCCATTTGTCTTTGATTTCAATATGTGCATTGGTTAGAAGAACATAAATATAGAATGGTTTTTACGAAGATGAAAGAGTTTTTCAAGAATAAAGTTGAAGCTGTAGGTGAACTTTCATTTTCAACAGTGCTAAGATATGATTGACTAGCAGTGAAGAGCTGTAACTAAGTCGCTGTTAAATTGGTTTGCGCCCATGCCAGTGCTATGTCTATGGTATATAGTTTAGCTTAAAACAACGTGTATTTTATAACATCTGTTCCTTTCACTCACCATAGAGATAATGAATGTAGTTTGTAGTCTCACGTTTTTTGTTTTTGTTTGTTTTGTTTTGAATTAGGTTTCGTCTGTACTTATATGGTATATTAAATAGCATTGAGCTTGAAATTATCAGCTACCTGATCTTGGGATTCTATCTGATCATACTTAAATATCGGTGGAAATAAATACAGTAATAACTACCTTTCAGTTGTGTTTATAGAAATTTTCATTTTAGTCAATACCCTTAGGCAGTTATTCACAATTAGTCTTACTGCGATCCTTGATGCAAGATCGAGATTAGAGAGATTAGAACAAGAGAATTCCTTTCTACATAATTGTATATTTTTCAACTGGAACTAAAATTTCCATTTATTAACAGGTCCGTTCGCCCTTAGTCCGAATATTAGAACCTTGAGTGGTGTGGTGAGTAACTATTAGTTGTTGTTGTGGTTATTGCAACCGAGTAGAAAACAATAGTCCTTCAAAACGAATTCGATGGTTAGAATAAAATGTGGGGGGAATGTGAGTGGGATTGTGTGAAAAAGCGGAAAAATGAGATGATGGTGCGCCAGTCCACATAAGAACAATGCAAGTGTTATTAATCATAAGTTCTAGTTGGTTACCTTATTTCACCCTATCGAAAATCCAACCGTTTGTCTTAATTTCTCAAATCAGATTTCTTCTGAAGTAGTTAGTTGAATATACTTTATGCCTGCTGGGGTCTTCTGAAATTGCGCACATTATGTGTTACAACAACAACAACAAGAGTAAATGAAAAATAAATCATATTAAAGATAACTAAAATTCCGCTATGTTGCTAAAGCAAAATTATATAGTAAGAGTCATATATAAAAGTTATAAAAATATTTATTATACGAAAGAATGAAAGAAGTAATTATTTTACATTAAATGGTAGTTTAAAAAATATGAAAGAATTCGAATACTATGAAATTAAGAATATTTAACGTTAGGAGTATCTGTACTTCACTTGATGTTCAAGTAAAAATCTTCAAGAAAATAGTTTCTGTCACTCCAAATATTTTAATAATTTGGATAATTTATCCGATTTAGCATCAAGATCATTTTCAATATTGTAAAAATATTGTTGTAAGAAAATCCAAGGATTTTCGCATGCTGGAGGATATCGTAGCTTGAAGACTTGATAAATTTTGAAACAAATATCAAGCGATACCAGAAAATAATCAAATTTATATAAACTGTCGTTAAAATAAATATAAAATGATTCCAATTGTTGTATATTGGAGCCAATAACCATTAAAAATGGTTGGATGGTTAATCCAGACGAAAAATACTTATTTTTAATATCAAGTATTCGTTTTTTATAGTCATTAATGTTCAATAAAAACATAATAAAACTTTCTTGTGAATCATCAATTGTTGCTTTCTTAGTTCTACTGCCATTTTGACTTCTAAATCTCTGAGTCGGCGGAAGAATTCCACAAAGCAGTAAGGCAATGAAGACATTCGCGCTATCTGTTAAAATAAATGAGTTAACTCAAACGTCATAATAATTTTATTTAATGTTAATTTTACCATAGGAAATAATGGACTTGTTACCTTGATCTTTGAGTAATTGCAATAACATTTTACAATTGCTGTTATGTACATTTTTTTTATAATATTCTTTAATTTTAATACTAAAATGACACCATTTAGAAAATAAATGTTCACTTTTTCCCGGTTGAATCACATCAAAATCACTTTGAATCTACAAAAAAAAAAAATAAAAAATAAAGAATTATACTTAATGGAACAAAATTGAAAAATATATTATATTATTATATATCTCTTTATTATATATCTCTTTCGAAATTATAAACTCTTACCAAACTAACCGCTTCAGGAGTAGCGTAGACTGCCCAATTAGCGAAAACTTTTTTCGAAGAATTTAATTCTGCTAAATGCTTTCCACGGCATTGAAATGTTTCACGGCCAGTATCTTTCTCTTCGTTCCATGAATGATCGGATTTTCTTAAAGACTCCTTAGAGGCATTGCGTAAACTGTTATCTTTAATTTTGATGCTCATTTCAGACATATGTATGAATTTGTTCGATTTCTGCACGTTTAGTTTCATTTTCTTACTTCTCATGTTTGAGTATTTAAGGTACAACTTTCCAGATGGATTTCTTTTACTGGTGCGATGAATATAATAGTAATCCTAGAAAAATGATCAAGAATTTATAAAAATATATAACTATTCTTAAATAATAACTGCCATTAATGACTGCTATATTTATTTACTCAATGTATTCAATTGATTTAAAAAAAGGATTGTGAGAGAAATTATTTATTAAATTAGATGTATATGAATTTTTGTATATATATATAGTATTCGCAGCTCTAACATGCACGAATAGCTTGAAGATTTTTGAACATTTAAAGTTTTTGAAATAAGTTTTCGAAACCGAAGAACGAATTCACCAACACATCTTATTAATTTTAGTTTTGCTCATGATGATGTTGAGCTCAATTCATGACTCTAGGTTTGGACACCAAATTAAAATTGATGAAATATAATAACAAAAAATTTGATTTTGGTTTTGTCTTATGAATGACCTTATGTCTTTAAAGACTACTTAGAAAGACTACTTAACTCTTACTCTTATGTTGTTGTTGTTGTAGCCTGCAAGGATTTATAAAGTAAATAAAATGAAAGGAATCACAAATTAGAATTAGGATGTGGATGAGTAATGGTAGTGTGAGAGGATCATTTAGGAGTAAGAATATATTAGGGATAATGGCGAAGGGTGAATAAATCTACTAACTTTAATGGTGTAAATAGAGAAATCGGGGTACAGTTGGGGTTTACATTTATGCATGATAACTATCTTGATCTCAATTGAGCTAGGACAGTTCTGCTATACGGGGAAGGTGTCGTTCTTTTTGGGAGATATTAGCTAAGGGCTCAATTGAGAACTCTGTCGCAGTGTAACCGTCGTATAGAAGAGGAAATTGTAGATCGTTGGTAATTTACTTTAATATTTGACCACACAAATGTTAGCACCATTGCAATAGGTATCGATTTAATCACGATATGAAAAAAGGGATACACACATCTCATCTTTAGTTTTGATAGAGTATTCTGAGCTATATATGATTCGACTTAAAGTTTGAAGTCAAAACAAAATAAAGTTAAATTTTTTTGTCCATTTTTTCAGTTGGGTTCCTCTTACCGTCGTGAGCTATTATTTAAAAATATTTGAGTCTCAGAAATCTTGTGTAACAATATAATATTTAAAACAGTCAGTTACTGTTGTAATTATGCTATCATCGATCAGTTTCGTTATTATATGAAGGATAGATAAATACACAAATATTATTTAAAAATTTTTTTGAAAAAAGAATATTTCCCTTATTGGTGAGTGAGTTCGCAGTTAGCTTCATCCTTCTATAGTTCTACAATTATACTATTAATAATAATTACCCTATACATTGTTTCAGTTTTGAAAACTGACACTATTTCATCAATTAAGGCTGCGTAGTCTTGTGGTTTTAAGTTGATGTCATGTGTAATTAAATCCTCCACAATAATCTTGATTAATGTCTCTCTTTTTTTATAATTTAATCCTTGGTTCTCACAATAGGATAAAATAAGTGCCTTACCTTCTGGACTGTTGTTAAGTAAATCTCTTAAAGGCTGTAGGACAACAAAAAATAAATAATAATTTTAATGCTTTTAGTTTAATGTCGGTGGTGAAACCATGCGAAGGAATAAAATACTGACCTTACTCAATATGTGTCGTAATGGTGTAGAGGATATAGCTGTGCTTAACGAAAATGAAGTAGAAGTTTCACTACTTGTATTCTCATTCATCCCATCATTGTTTGACTGATACTAAATAGTGACAAAAAAAAATTTGTAAATTTAATTAATCTTGTACAAACAGACCTACTTCTCCATTTTTCCAGGAGAGCAATTTTTCCCTGAATTCCATACGTAAGCCAAGAGGTGGTATTGCTTCTTTCATGTCATCATAATTCATGTATTTTAAACTACGATAAGTCACCTTTGCAGCTGAGGTGCAGAGTGTGATGAAGAAAAAATAATGGGTATATATAAACGTCTTACCTTTTAGATAGCGTAAGACTTCAACTAAATTAAATTTTTGGAGTAAAACAAGCAGTTGCTTCTCATCATCATCATGGGAGGATGTGCAGACGTCATCATTCATTATTTGATTGTCAGCCTGCTGTTTACTTAGTCCACTTTGTAAATATTTATTTGCGCTATTCATAATGTATATGAATGATCTTCCGTAAAAAAACAAATTATTTCTCTTTAGTTTTTTCTTCAAATGTAATTTACAAAGACAAACTTTTGACACTGTAAAAACGAAAATTTGAACGAACCAATTTTATTCGAACGTTCGTGCCGGCTCATTCAAAAATTACAAGGTTACCATATTTTTATAAATATAGACATTCAAAATTTAAGACAATAAATAAATATAATGTGGTACGTTCATTTTATTATTACTTATTTTACATATAATATATTTACTTAATAATTAATATGTTAAGAACAAAGAAAAAGTTATTTTAAAGAGACTTCAAAGCCCGCAAAAGGTTATTAAAATTTTAACATGTAGCAAACTTATCATCATTATTAGTGGCGCAGCGATCTTAGTTGAATCTTGGCCTCCCTTTGATAATTCCTTCACGTATCTCTGTTGTTTGTTATCATTCTCCAGTTTCTTCTTTCAAGTTGTTGCGCTGTTTGGTCCACATTGTCTATCCAGCGTAAACTCAGAGGTCCTCGAATGCTCATTCTTTGAATATGTCTAGCCCATTGTAATTGTTATAGTTTTACTCTCTTGCTTATTGCTGATTCTCCTAGCTCTTTTTTGTGACATTCGTTATTAAATCTCAGCCCAATAGTTGCCGTCTTCTTCTCCAATTGGATCAATATTGCGTTTAAAGATATCTAGCTTATTTTCATCAAAATTTTTCATAGTTTAAGTCTCTGCACCATTCATTAAGATTGGAGATAACCTTTTATATATTCTTAATTTTGACTTTTTAGTAAACATTTTTGAACCAAGTGCTTTATATAGTCTACCAAAGCTTTTATTTGCTGCCTTTATTCTTTCATTTATTTCCTCACTGTAGTTATTGGTTGGGTTAATTACTGATCTAAGATATTTGCAGGATTCATCATGCTCGAAACTGTTTTCAACTTGTTGAATAAATCATCTAGTTGAGGATTGACGATGACTTAAGCATTTCGTTTTTCCAATTCATCTACATATATTTTAAATTATAGTTTAAAATCCTACTCGTTAAATTGGATTTAAATAATTCCTTTATTTTCTTAGCTGAAATAATTTTTAACTAGAACAAAAAGATTAATAAGATAATGATTCTTATGACAAAAGCATTTCTATCAAACACTATATAATACGGTCTTTGTTTCTGTTAAATAAATTTCAATATAAAGTACAAAATGGCAAAGACCGTATGTGTACGGTATATGTTAAAAATTTGTTGAAATTCGCACGAAAGCTATTAAAAGCTTTAGAGCTTGTGTATCTCCGAACTTAGATTTTATGGTAAAAAAGTTGCTGAAAAAAGCTGCATAAATTAAATATTTTGACTTTAAAATTTTTTGATTTATTAAATGAATTCATTTTGTGTTTATGAAAATTGTTTCATATTGGCATATCTTATTTTAGTTTCATCCGTATATGTATTCATCTTTCTAGTTGTTATAAACTGTACTAAAATGTTGACCATTCACAATAGCATAAACATACAATTTTTTGATTTAAGCTTTACCTAGTCGGTACATACGCTAAAAACTTATGCGAACTTAAGCCAAACCGAAATGCACAACGAACCATATCTAAGTATTTCGCTTTAACTTAAATTCTTACGGAACGTACTGACTAACTGAACCTTTACTGTTGTGGCAGTTTTTGCAAAATTTTAAATAAAAAGTCATTTTCGTTCGTTTCTGTATATATTCGATGTATTCGATGTATATACATCTATTGCACATCTATTGTACTTAGATGTGTTTATATGTATATATACAGATAAATATATACAATGTTATCATGTTATTGCATGAATATACGTTAGCCTGTAACCATTCTGAGATTTGATAACGCGGTGTCGGTAAGTCTGTCAGTTTTCGCAAATAATTTCAGGGTTCTATCCTTTATGTATTTTTTGATTGAATCAATCTTGAGATCCCTGAGGATGTCATTTGTTCTAATGTATCATGGTACTTTAAAAAGTCTTCTCAGAGCCTGGCTTTGTGCAATTTCTAGCTGGCGAATAGTAGTGTTTGAAGCTCTGCTAAACGCTACACATCCATATAGAAGTGACGGACGAATTATTTAGTTATATATCAGTCTCCTGTTCTTAGCATTGAGATTTTTATTTCTGAATAGCGGTTGGAGGTAAAACCACTTTTCACAGCATTAATCCTACTATGAAACCCTTCTAAGTAAAATCCCTATACAGGGCTCTGTTGTCTCTGCTACAATTATTGGATATATTCCAAAATGGACTCACGCAAGCATTTTGCATAAATGCATGTATGAATCAGAAATATATATTTAATATATATATATAATAAATTTCTCTGATATTAAGGTATTTGCTTTTTTCATATAAAACGAGGAAAATAGCATAAAAACTTTGTTGTTGTTGTTACGAATATTCAGTCATTAGTTTACTCATTTAATAGACTATTATTAGTATTAGTTAAACCACTTTATTCTTATATATATATATTTTAATTAAGTAGACATTTACTTCTTACTTATTTAAGTCCACATTTATTCAACTTATTTATTTATTATAACTTAAAAACAGTTTTTAATAGTACAATAATCGTTAAAGTGCTTAATAATATCAACATGCACGCCAAAAAATACCTTTTTTATTTTTTGATTGTTTACGTACTAAACAGCGATATATTTGTTTTAATTGAGTCCAGCTCTATACAAACATATATTTATATTTTTATATATATATCTACATTATTTATATTGTATATATTAATTACAATTAAGCTAAAATTATAAAAATGCATCACAAGAAATTTACAGAACAGTTTTTCATAATAATAGTTACATATATTTTCAGTTTCACATATCAAGCAAATCTAATATAAATAACATTTTTCTTTATAAGTTATGATTTTATTGTAGTTTACTAATTTAATTTTATTTTATTATATTATATATAATTGTTCTAATATATTTTAATTATTTTATTATATTACTAAAATATATTAATTCAAATTTTTTATATCATATATTTTTACTTTATTATTGTATTTAAATAAATTTATTTTTATTTTATTTTATTTTTATTAGTATATTTTTATTTTACCTTATGATATAAGATTTTTTTAATATTAGCTTAAATATTTATATCAATACTTAGGACGTGTGCGAGTTAGGCTAAGTTGATGCTAAACCAAATGGGAGATTTTTTTTGGGATTTTTTGCACTGCACACATTTAGCCATTTATCAACACGTATCGACACATCACTACATTATCGGAACAACTTAGAATTTTCATTTAGAGAACGACAACTTAGACTTAATCGCACACGTCCTTATATAGTATTTATAAAAACATGTAAATTTATGTTCTCAATATTTGCATTAAGTTTGTAATAAATGCCTTATAGAAAGAATTTAAAACTGATTGTGAAAAATTTTAAATTATTAAAATATATAGAAGAATTAAATAATTTCTAATTTTTTTGCTGTGACATTTATTTATTTAAAATACAACAAAAAAACTGTGCTATGTTCCAGAACCATGAAGTATTTATCACTACGTTTATGCCAGAATCAAAAGGTCTTTAAACATTTTTAAAATCGGTTTTGATCTCGCGTAGAAACCTTTCATATGTCAATTCATATAAAACAGCTGTTCAGGGTAATTTCAGGGTAATTTTGTTAGCAAAGAAAATCTTCTTTACTTGTTATAGTATGTTTCCACCAGTATTGTATGTTAGACCAGTTAACTTACTTAAGATTGCTTGAATTACTTGA